ACATGCATATACATATACACACATACAAATACTAACAGTACACATATTTTCATACATATACATTACGATCTTTAAGGTTCAAGTTAGACTTATGTTATGAAAACAATTCATAGCAAACCTATTTCTTTAAATTATTTGACATTGCGGAAATATAAGAGTTTCTAAAACGATTGGTTCGTATAGTAGGACAATCAAACGCACGTTCTCTCCTCAGGTTGTAAGTGGGATTGTGTTTGGGTGGCAGTAGTTGATAAAGCTTGTGGTCTGGGTTGGATACTATTGTCTTGAAAAGTTTCTCACACAGTTTCTGACGCCTGTCTTTGAGAGAACTAATATTATGCTTGTTAAGATTGTTCGTATAAGATGACCCAGGAGATATAATTGAAAGCGCTCGCTTTTGAATGCGTTCAAGATCGTTACATAAATATGCAGGTAATGAGTGGTGGAATACGGGTGCACAATACTCGAGAACTGGTCTGATGCAAGTACAATAAAATTTTAAGATATGGTCAGCAGGAATGCTTGCACGCCTAAGCAAAATTAGGAAATACAAACGTTTGTTAGCTTTCTTCACGACATAGTTGACATGGTCAATCCATTCCAGTGAGTTAGACACCATGACACCCAATATCTTGGCACTGCTGACTAGCTCGAGTTCTTTGGAATTGATGATGATGGTCTTAAGCTGATGTTTCACTTTCTTAAAGTCAACTATCATTTCCTTACACTTGTCTTCGTTCAACTGGAGCCTGTTGTTTTTACTCCATTTCTCTACATCAGACACTGCACTCTGCATTTGGCTTTGGCTATTTCTTGGGACAACCTCGGTTAATGTCGTGTCGTCTACGTACTTCCACGAGTGCCCTTCGGATGGTTTAAGGTCATTGATCATGAGAAGAAATAACCATGGTCCTAATTTTGTACCCTGTGGAACTCCAGATGGAACTGCACCCCATTCGGAGAAGCAATCGTTGGACAGTTTGACGCGTTGCAGCCTGTTCGATAAAAAGTCGCATACCCAGCGAACTACACTACGTGGAACATTCAGGGAAAAGATCTTTTTAACTAGGATCCGGTGATCGATGAGATCAAATGCCTTCCTGTAGTCTAGCAACACCATCCTTACCGCTGCACCTGTCCCGTCAGTGGCAGAAGCCCATGTATGAATCATGGAAATAAGGGCATGCGTAGTAGATGATTTTGGGATAGCGCCATATTGGTTGGGATCAATGATCTCAACGACGGCAGGGCCAATATAATGTCTTACGATAAAGTCCTCAGCTAGTTTTGATAGAGACGGAGTTAGCGAGATAGGTCTGATGTGCTTGGTAATTACAGTCACAGGTTTCGTCTTTGGTAGTGGTGTTACATTGGCGTACTTCCATGACAGAGGGAGGGATTGTTCAGCAAATGAACTGTTCAGAATAACACAGACTGGGTTCGCGAGAAACTCGGCATAATCTTTAAGGAGCCAGTTCGGCACGCCGTCTGGACCAGAGGCTTTTCGAGGATTTAGCCTGACTAATGCTGAGTAAACCGAAGACTCATCAAGCGTTAGAACTTCCGAATCATTATCAACGGGAGGAAGACTGTCAAGTGATTGATATTCCTGCATCGGTTCTAGAAGGGCAGTATTTATAAGGTTGGCGATATCCTTATTTGACTTTCCATCAAGTCCATCAACATGTAATTGGGCGCGAATATTCTCGGTTGGTGTCGCTGGGATCATTCCCGATAACTTTTTAATCTCGTTCCACCACTGACTTGGCTTAACATTCATGAGGTTCGCAACCCTCGAGGTGTAATATCTGCTTCGGAGCACTTTGCGTTCACGGTTAACGATGTTGCGAAGTTGGCGGAATCGTTCTTGTTCTCCTTGTTTGTAGGCTTTCTGGCGTAATTTGATGAGCTTTTTGAATTCGGGAGTTACCCAAGGAGGATCGTTAACATGTAATTTAAAAGACTTGAGTGGCATAATAGTGTCTACGCCAATTTTAACAAGGTCAAGAAACAGTGTTAGTTTGTCATCGCATTTATTAACAAAATTGAGAACGGACCAGTCGATAGAGCTCAGATATCTTCCAAGTTCTTGTCTTCGACTTGAACGAGTATCTCTTCGAGTAATAAAGCGATGGCTAGAGGTGAGCACAGTTCTTACTTTGGGCTGCAGCAGTAACACTGAATGGTCAGATAAGCCAAATGGTGGAAAACTCTGCACCGATTTTTTGTCATAAAGGTTGGGCATGTTCGTAACTATGAGATCGAGTATCTGCTGGCCTCTTGTTGGAGCACTGACGAGCTGTTTCAGTTTGAATTGCATGAGAAGTCGACTGATATTTAAACGATTAAAGTCACCAGTGAGTAATATTCCACACCCGGGATAACGTCCTTCAATAGTTGTCAATGTTGATGTCAAGTATTCCAACATCGCCTTATCGCTGGCACCTTCAGGGTAATGAGTATGGTACACAGTGCCAATAATGACACAGGGAATTCCTCTCGGTAGTCGTGCGGGTCGATTACTAAGACCTAGCCTGCGTGCAGCCTCAACCCGAATTTATTAAATATCGGCAAGTTAATAAATTCGGGTTGAGGCTGCACGCAGGCTAACTGAAACCTAAAGATTCACAGTTTTCTGAGAGGGAGAAAAACCGGAGGACGGACCTGGAGGAAAATTAGATAACGAACCAAACTCTACTCACTTAATAAGTTTTTAAGCACAGGAAAGTTACTTTGCAACCTCAGTACATCCTATTAATTCAACCTGCAATAGCAGGCTTAGCATAGCGGTAAGGGGCAATACATTAACCGCATCTGCATGTTGTCACCCATGGTTCCCTGGTGATAATTTCGAATCCAATCACACTACTCTAATTTCTTTGATCTTGTCAACATGTATTTGTTCGTCATTAAGAGAAGTGATGGTCATCGTACAAATTTCCTCCGACAATCCTAAACCAGTCGAAAGCCTCAAAGCAAGCAATCTTAAACCTTACCAGGCCAACACACAAGATCCATACATCACTGCTTATTTGAAAACTGATGCTCTGCCTTTGACGTTCGTGATTGGTGATGGAAAGGAGTATAATTCGGAAAAACAAAAATACTTCAACCAACCTCTGAAACAGAATTCAAGTTATATTTTGTTCCTCCGGTTTTTTGAAAATCAGGTAAATTCTGTAAATACAGAACGTTTTTGTTATTTTGGACGAAAATTTTTGTTCGTATAGAAAACTTGATTAATTAATATTGTTTTTTAAAGAACTCGTACTACTCAACAGAATGGAGCAACACTACTAGGACGTTCGTAAAACCTCCAGGTAATGATTTCCATAGGACCCAGCTTCGAATACATTTAAATGAGAAGACCAAACTAAGAGTATTAGTATTCTTTATATAATTTTTCATCCTAATTAGTATGATTATATAATTGTTCACCCTATATATATATAATTAGCATTTTTTTGTAGTCGTATTTTAAGCTATTCAAAACACTCGTTGTCGTGTTTTATCAGACATAAAACGCTCGGCTGCGCCGGGTTCATAATATTGCTTCTCAAACGAACATGCATGCATTTCAGTAAAGAGAATGGTCGTTTATTACCGTGATAGCAAGACAATGATACGGTTCTGGTTTCCTTTGTGTTTTGCTTATGAATTATGAATAAGTTTGTATAGGTAATAGTATGGTTTCTCGTGCAATTTGGAAAAACACGTGCACGAGTGAGTTTTTCAAAGACTATCAAAATTGCACGAGTCCGAAAGACGAGTGCAATTTGAAGTCTTTGAAAAACTCACGAGTGTATGTTTTTCATATTGCACGAGAAACCATACTATTACTTATTAATAATATACATGAAAAAATTAACGGCAGCCATTTTTTTACAAAAAAAACCGCCAGCAATGCATTCTTGCCACTCCTAAAAACTCTTAAATGTTTGGGTTTTTCTGTATTATTTCTGCTGTAAATTGCTGTATTAGTTCTTTGTTATTGTTTCATATTTTAAGCCAATCAGAAAGCCTAAATAATCAATGAAATTTGCACTGTATTTCTTTTTTTGGCACTGTATATATTTCGAAAATATTACACAGCTAATCAGAATTGAGAATTTTTTTATGTATATTATTAGAGAAGGAATTGTACAATATTCTATACTAACAATGTAGTGAAGTATGTTATGTTGCAGTACGGCACAGTACAGTACAAAACAACACAGTACAGAACAGTGTAATAGTATGGTATAGTATATACACATGCATCAGAGGTTGCACAGTTGAGCTGTTTCACAAATATGTATCACAGGCTAGCACGATATAATAAATTAAATTTTAATTCATTGGAACTAACCATTGAAATTCTGTATGAAAATTGTATATTTAAACTATAGCTCCAAACATTTCAAAAATCATTTCTACCAGTCTTAAAATGTACACTATCTCTTGGTCCATACCATCAACCAGCAAACCATCCGCAAGTACTATGCAAACTACAATACCAAGGGAAATGAAATCTGTCAGTGTTGCTGTTGAGTTCGATAAACCAATGCATTACCCAATTCCTCCTCATGTCAACTGGCTTAGATACACTTACTTATCGTAGACATTCCGCATGCCAGAAATTCATTAATAGAATGAAATCCTACGATTACTGTTATAACAACCCTTTAGCTAACATTTTAAAATGTCGTTCAGTGTTTGTCTGAATACTAGAGATTCTGGGAACATCAATAGAATTATGTGCATGTTTTGTTACTGTTAAACATTTTAACTCTTAGATAATTGGTAGAACATTATTATCGAGATAATTAACTAACTGCCGATCGTAACTGATTATTATTTATCACCCTTGCTGTGATATTAGCTTATTTAAATACCTATAGCTATGCTGTTTCGGCTTCAATGCGGTCTATTAAACCAATTATTATTATTATAACATAGGCTCTGGTTGAGTTTCCAGACCATATCTTTACTGACTATGTTGGTACAGTACGTAGTTTTACAGACAGCGTGCTCTGATATATACATATACTAGTGTCCTTTTCAACATTTAGACAAAGCATCTCCAAATGACACCAGCTGTGGAACAGAATGGTATATTGTTGTCGTAACATTGGTGTCTGGAATTATCATTGGAATTCTCCTTTCCTACATTGTGTCGTGTTCTCGTCGTAAATTTAGAAGAAGGAGACAACCTCGATCAAACCATGAACCAAAGACAACTGAAGCTGATACAACTTATCAAGAGCTTGATCTTACAAAAATGAACACAGGAGATAATTATCAGTCGTTGAGGGTGAATGCTGAGGAGGAGTCAACATATACTGAGTTAAACCAAACCAGAGATGTAGAGGACAACTACCAATCTCTAACTTAAACTTGGAATATTTAATGGTGAAAGGTAGCCTCCTCCTTTTATTCTATAGGGGTAACCTTTGTTGCGGTTCTTGTGGTGGAGACGCCATTTTTGTTTAAAGTGAAAATAGAGAGGGCCGTCAATCGATAAATAAAAATAAAACCAGACCATATACTGGGTTTTTTTCCAGAGATTTACAGTAATTGCGACGACTATAGATTCGTTTCTGAAACAAAATTAGCTTTACTGCTTGTTGGAACCTCAGGTGTGCAGCTTATCTGTCTTATCCTATTGCCGCACTACTAGTTTGAAAAAAATTGAAGCATCGGCGAGTCTTGGATTCTCTGTGGCTGTTCTTTTGGACGATGTAGAATGTCGTAGTTGCAAATTGCAAAAGAACACAAGTTGCATGCCGGGTAATTTTTCTCACATGGCAACTGGATAACAGGTCATGATTATTCTGTTCCCCGGTTATGATTTTCAAAAAATAACCTGTTATACTAAGTTTTTAACACTGATGCGTGAAGAACTCACTTGCAATATATATCAGATTCTAACTACCATGAGGATATTACGCTGAAACAATAATGACGAGTTTATAATTTCGGTTTGATGAGATACTAATTTCAATGTGTTTTCTGTTTTTAGAGCTACAATCTTGGACATATTATTGATTGGCATGAGACTACCTTTCCCCTTTATACAAAATTCGATAGATTTTATGCTAATATTTCCTTGCCAGGGAAAACTATGCCAGCTTTTGGACAAGGAAAATTTCGGCTCGGACGTGTGTACGACCGCCAAGGAAAACTTGACAAGTTACAAGAAACACTTCTAGGTTTTGGCAAACAAAAGGCGGTAAATATGTGAAGATAAATATTTGACAACATTCTGTGCAACAAAACTTTCAAAGGAAAGTGTTAAAGGAAAACTCGTTCACCCTACACACGAGAACGTAAACTTGTCAAGGAAAATTTGACAAGGAAGACTCTTTAATCAACTGTTCTATATAAACATGGCCATAAAGTGTATCGAAAACCGGCATATTGTATACCAGGATAATACAAATATCAGGCCAGAGTATAAGCAGCATATATTGTGCTATTATGGTACAAGTGTACTTGTCACAGTAAAGGGGGGGGGGCGGGGGGTGAATATAGGTTTGGCTAGCGAATATTTTACACGGATTTGCGGATCTTATTAATTCAGCGGATTGCGGATTTATCTAATATTTTGGCTCGGATTGTGGACTTAGCTTGCAATTTAGTCGGGATCTTGGATTGTGACTTAATAGTAGAGCTTTTAGCGGATTCAAATTAGGACAAGACCATTGTCGGATCGCGGATTTTGCTTCAAATTTTGGGCGGATGGGCAGATTGTATACCCCTATTCACTCCTCCCCCCTCCCCCCAGTAAAAATTGTCAAAGTTGCGTACAGACGAGCAAATAAAACTTGCCACATAAAAACTTCTCATAGAAAACTTGCTCGTCTGTAACCGGCTTTAAAATTGATCATTGTATTAAAAGCTTGCTTATTTACTTTTATTTCCAAATATATTTCGAAAGGTCGGTTTCGTTTCAGCACTTTTTGTTTTGAAAAGGTTTAATTTCGTTTTGCTAATATCACTCATTAAACTACTTGCTGCATAAACCATGCCATGCAATGGCAATGCCTAATTGTTGTTGTATACTGTGAGTCCAGCCTAGTCCCTGGCCTTCCAAGCGCGGGCGAGTTACAGGCTGTCGTAAACTTGCGGGCTTGTTGATTTCCCCCTAAATTAATGAGGCGGAAGTTTCGGACGTTTCGGCCCAGATTGGGGTTCGGGCAGCGTTACCATGTTGACCGTCATGGTCAACTTGCCCCAAAACAGTTGAGAACTTTAATTAATTATAATATGCCTGGATTACAAATCTTTAAACATATATTATATATATATATATATATATATATATATATATATATATATATATATATATATATATATATATATATATATATATATATATATATATATATGCCAACTTCGATTAAAGAATTAATTTGAACCAAAATTTGTGCAATATGTGGCGATAACAAGTTGGCATTATTCGAAATGTCTAATTACGGACAATATCATTAATAGTAGTAGAAACTATATTATATATATTTATTTCACAAGGAACAATTTATTGAATGCAAATACCAAATTCAAATAACTCACAGCGATAAGTAGTTTTAAAACATACGACAAACAACGTAGCAAAATATCTAATAAAGTCAGGAACATATTTTCCAGTTGTATTTGATAAAATGTTTCTTCTTTCTGTGATTTAGTTTCAATTTGCGTAATTTGAATCAATATAATGTTGAGATTATGTTAGAAATCATTTTTACAAATCCTCCCAAACTACCTTTAATAGTTTTTGAGATATTTGAAACCGAAATATCTTGCCATCCGCCATCTGGTTTTATAATTAGATCTAATTAAATGACGTCACAACCAGGGTAGAAATTTTAAATATTAAAATATTATCAGTGGAAAGTTTATAGCTTGTGCTTTAATTTTACTGATAGGCAATAGTAAAATAGGATTTATCATTAAAGAAGGCATGACAATTACTCACGATACAAAATATTGTTCCCTGATTGTGACGACACGCATATCCGACGACAGGGTCGGTAGATTGGCGATTAGACGTGGTTAACATGGTTGTAATTCTAGACGCCAATCAGGATTCATGAATTCCAGCCAATTAAAAAAGCTGATAAACGTTAACCAATCATGATTGAGTATATAACACTGTGCTCGCAGAAGTCCGCATTTGGCTTCTTTTTGTTTCCGTGAACAAAAAAGTCGTTTGCCCTCTTTTGGTAGGTTTTGGCTACTTTCTCAACGGCATTTGGCTCCGAGCCGGAACCAGTGGCAGGAACGCATATCCAAGATGGCGGAATGCATAATGTCAGTGTTTCAAAGGAAGGGTATATATCATTTATACCAAGAACAATATAGAAAATCAGTGAAATGGTTTTGAACTATATTGAATTATTCTTCCAAATGGGAGAGACTTATTTTTTATTGCTGCCAGTCCCTCTAAGTTACTTTTTATACCTTCCTTTGAACTACGCTGTGTATCCATCTCGGGTTTTTTTTCGCAGTTTGCACTATGGCTATAACATAAGCCTGTTTTCCGCAGACCTCAGTTATCGCCACGGTTTGTGGCTTTAAAGTTAGTACGCCTGTTTTCGGCATACCTTGCTGAGCCATTATTTTGCAGCATTAGGCTACATAAAATTTTAATACTGTGTAGTTTCATGGATATTGACTTGACTGACCGTCTGAAATTCAGGCTAAAGCTGTATCTCGGCTGTAAGCCGGCAACCTCAACTGATCCTAATAAAATCAGATTTGTAAGTTCAACCATATCAAACTTTCGTAATACAAAAAGTAGTTTCAAATTTCACGGCTTCATATTTCACAATATTTGACCCAAAATAAGGCAAAATTTTGCACTTTTCTCGCTCTTGTTTCTTATTCACAAAGAATTGCGCTCGGACACCTCCAAAATCATAAAATACCGTAAACTTCCGAATATAAGCCCCCCCCGTCTATAAGCCCATCAAATTACTAACGTTCACACCATTCCGTATATAAGCCCCCCGAATATAAGCCCACCCCTTCATAAGCCCACCCGTATATAAGCCCATCACACTATAATACCGGTAAATTACACAAAAAAATCCACTACATTGCATTAAATTTCAACTAAGACTATGTCTACGGTATGTATTTATTTAAACAAAGGTTATAAAGGATTACAAAACACTTGACAGTTCGTCCCGATTTTGCCTCAAGGAGTCACGGACATATTTTTTGTGCAGTTTCGGTCCGTAAATATAGTACGTGTTTTCTTACTATTAACCTAAGATGTGGTTCGTGTATAAGCCCCCCCCCCCCCGTATATAAGCCCCCCAAGTATAAGCCCCCCAAGTATAAGCCCATCAAAAAAGGCTTATGAAATTATATAAGCCCAGGGCTTATATTCGGAAGTTTACGGTATAGGCCTTCAGACGTCCTTTGAACGTGTTTTAACGAGCAAAAAATGAAAACAAAGCCCGTCACTTTTGGTGTGTTTAGAGGCGGTTGCGCATATATTTAATAGTAATTTACACTACGCGCGCGTCATCGGGTCAGGTAAATAGGCTCTAGAGCCCATTTGCGCATGCGTGTGGCACCGGACACCGCCAAAATCAAACTCCTCGTGAAATTTGCTACATTTTGGTATAAAATTTGATGTATTTATTTGCGAAATAAGTCCGTCAACATGCGTGTGAAGCTAGGTTATATTTTGCGGTTTGCATTCTCGATAGCTACGGCGTTAGCTGAAGCAGTAAGACCGAATACTGGAGAAGTATCTTCGACTGAAGCTCTCTGCCTTTGTTCGTACATCATATAAGCAAGTAAGAGTATGTATTCATTATTTTACAAGTTGACTTGCGGAATTGCGGCAGATTTTAGTATTTTTTTCTGGTATTTATAACATAGTCGAATTATATATAGGCCTATTACGTATTAGTTCTAACACAAGTAAGACAGTAAGTGCTCTTTCTCTGATTTGTAAATACGGCCAAATAGGTTGAAAATGCGAGACGAAGACGAGCTTTTTTAACCAGCTTGTCTGTATTTAGAAATCAAGAAGTGGCTTCTCAAACGAATCAACACTTTTACTTTAAGAGAAAGCAATGTGCGCTTTGCTCTGTCTACCATATTTATTAATAAAGAATGCGCGCATAATTGCAGTGCGAGACACTGGATACTAGCTTACTCAAATGTTTGCGTTAATAGGATGAAAGTTTGATATTGTCTAAAACAATAAATCCCAAGATACAACAACCAATACATGAAGGAGAAATGTTTATAATTGGAAATTTATATCTTTCTTAATAACATATTATAAAGTATACTGCAGCAATTAAGCTTAGCTTTTTCTGCTAATTGATCAAGAAAAAACTGTACAAAAAGATCATGACAATAATTCTAATACTGTTACAAATTATTTAAGGACTTAGTAAAAATATTCGTGCATTGATATCGAGCTGCTGCCTATACTTTCTTACCGCATGAAAGCTACTGACACGCAATGTAACACGATCCATCTGTTTCCAGGAATGGTTTTTTGTTCGCGTCTGGCCAAGAAAGAAGTGCATCATAAAAGATTGAGTAATACCATAGGAATTTAGCATAAAGGCCGTTTTTCACTTCAACCGTATGGTAACGTTAGCGCAGCATTTTCCGGCTTTTGTTTCGAAATCATTAGTTCCACTCAAGTGCTCAGAAACAAAGAAATACTATATTCAGTAGTTTGTAAGGTATTGTTTTAAAAAACCCACTCGTGACCTTGTCATTGAACTGCATGGGGATTAATATATCATCAATAAAAAAGACAAGGGAAATTTCATGATCTTGACAAGATATGGTAAGTGCTATGTAATCATGCTTCAGACGAGCAATCTACATTGAAAAAAGTCCGTTTAATTACCATTTATTTTGTTTAGCCGGCACTGAACAGCGGAAGTATCACAAATACTCGTGATGTTTTCGTCTTTCGCCTTCGCTGTTTCACTTTACGAAATCAACAACAGAATGTCGTGGCTATTTCATCGATGGTTAACCTTCTTTGGCATATCGTTATTGGTGTTTAACGGTAAGATATTATAGATACGTTATGTGGTATTATTCAGTGAAACACGAGGAGATATACATGCAGTACTGTATATAATATACCCCACAAAGGTATTGTACAATGCAAGTATATTTAATCAGCTTACGATTATCAGTATATTATAGCATGTAGTTTGTTTGCATACATTGCTAAAACATCAATTGAACTGCATTGTGATTTTTGGCCCTGAGCTTGAGGATTGCTTTGAAGTGGCTATATCTCCTGTTTCTTTCGAATATATAATATCAGTATAATATCCAGTGGCGCCGGCAAGGGGGGGCGAGGGGGGGCAGCCGCCCCTCCAATATTCTCCAGAGTGGGTTTTGGATTTGTCCAAATCCGATGTCGTAGAAGGTGCGGTGTGTAAATATTTGGTTGTCAAGTGTACGGTTGCGTGTAATGGCCAAGGAAACGAAAGAACGAAAGCCGTCTTTGGTTGATTTATACCCCGAACTTCTTCAAGAACCCGAATGCTTCCCCAATTTGTCAAAAATTATTAAGATTGCCCTTACTCTCCCTTTGACATCAGGATCTGCTGAGAGATCATTTTCCAAGCTGAAAATAATAAAAAATCGCCTGAGGTCGACGATGAGGCAAGATCGACTAGAATCGCTGATGCTCATGTCCGTGGAATCTGACATTTGTCGGGGCCTCGACATCGAAGGACTTGTTGAACGATTTACCGACGCAGCTCCCCGAAGATGGAACTTGTACTAAATATGTATTATAACATTAAATTCTTCATTTCATTCTTGGTTTTATTAAAAATACATTTGATTCATATATTGTATGGAAATCAATTATGTTCCGATCTACTAAAAAAGTGATTTATTAAAACCTTTATGTTTCTCTTAAAGTGCCTCCAAAACGCAGGAAATGCGGTTTTAGACACCCAAAATTCAAAATTTTCTCGGGGGGCATACCCCCGAACCCCCCTAGTAGGCTCGTGCCTTTGGCACTCGAATGATTTGCCCCCCCAAAAATAAATCCTGCCGGCGCCACTGATAATATCCTTATGTCGGTCGGAGTCGTATGACCTTTAGACCTTATGTGGACGACCGGTTCAGCCAATTAACTTCAAAACCGAAACAAACTTCTCGGTAAATTCAAGACCTGATAGCATTTTGATAGCATAGGGATGCATAGCATAGGGATGCAACTACATGAAAAATATAAGGAAAATTTCGACGTTTCGAGCGAAGTCCCTTCGTCTGGAGTTACTGGAGTTACCTAACTCCAGACGATAAGGGCCTTCGCTCAAAACGTCGAAATTCTCCTTATATTTTTCAGTTATTTGCATCCCTACCAAGAACAGCTTGTTCATGTTATTGGTACTACCTACAGTACACTGGCACAGACAGTTTTGATATATAATACGTTTGCTGTGTGTACATATCGAAGCTAAGAGCCTAATAACATATGGCTCAATATACTTTCAGTCCGCTTGAATCATGCTGTGACATCGACAATCCGATATCGGGTTAATACTGTATAGTTACAAATCAAAGGTCTTTGTTTTATGTTGAACTGTACGTCACCGTGCACAAGTTCCGTTTGTCTCAACT